TATATGAAATGTCAGATTTTATTGTATTTGCAGAGAATTAGCTTTGAAATTGAATAAAGAAAGCTGTTTGTAGTTTTAAAATGCCTTATTGGTATCAATTAGAAATTTCTTCTATTTTTTGATGTACTTAGAGCTTTTTGAGTATAGAATTTTAAATGGCAGGATTTTACAGTGTTTACATGCAAGTGCATTTTATAAGTGTTCTACATGTGTAAAATAGTATTTTCAACTGGAAAGCGCTGGCCAGTGCAGAGGCCTGGCCTTTTTCTGGTTCCCATGATGTTGCCCGCACTGCTACACTGCAGCTTTGTATCATGAGGCCAAGAAACTCCATGTCGTTTGTAAATAGAGTAATTGAAAAAGCAATAAACATTTATTGAACAAAAGAAACCTTGTTTGGCCCAGAGTTTATGTCAAACCAAGTTGTTCATAGAAATTTGAAGATCTCTAGACCCATTTCTGTTAATCATCAGTTATTAATAATCACATCCATCATTAATAGTTGCTCTAATGCTTGCATCCGAGAGAATACTAATGCTTAATAGCAGTCAGACCCTGATAACTGCACTGACTGCTTCCAAATTCTGTACACCGGACCTATCGTTGTTTTCCAGTTTCCTCCATTGACTGCTACTAACTATTAGTCGTTAGTTACATTTGATTTCTATTTTTTCCTGTTAACCAGTTTTTTTTGTGGGAGTGGGCTCTCCTTCACTTGTTCAAATCATGATATGAAATTGTCATGATTTTTATTGTATTCTGTAGATGGTGTCGATCAGTTTGTCAGAATTAAACATGCTTTTTTTTTTTTTATTAGTTGTGATTAGTTTTTCATGTTGTCATTAAGCCGTCACTAGCTGAAACTAATCTCTTCTCTATCTTTTCTTTCTTTTTTTTTTTTTGTTTTGTTTTTTGTTTCTAACCACCCAGCCGCCACCGGCAACTAACCTATGACCTTCTGACCTCTGAACTCTTCACCCAATGATGACCTGACCATGCCTGCCTGCTGATCAGTTAACTGGTAATCGCCTTTGCTTGCCTGTCGTCAGTGCAGCGAGCTGAGGCACTTGTCCGTTCGTCTTACCATCTAACCAAACAAAAGACAAAGAAATTGTTGTCCTTCAACTCAGCTTTTGGTTGTGGTTTTTTTTTTTGTTGGTTTTTTTCTCCCCCCCCTGTTCGGGTGAAAGTGGTTCTAGAAACTGCACTGAATAGTAGTAAAGCAATAAGGCCCAATTCATCCCACAGCACTGATCATCCTTTAACGTCCCACCCTAAGCGAACGGTAAGAAGGCCTCACTTCGGAAGGGGAGACAGATGGCCCTTAACTACTCAGTGACAGAGGCAGTTACTGTGAGAGACTTCTAGGAACCTTGTCTTCGCATAGCGAGTCGCAGCTCTCTGAATGTACTGTGTGATGATGCATCATGCATGAACCTGTGGTCAGGGATGTCATTGGTGAAGCGATTTCAAAAAGTATTCAAAATTTGACACGCTCTTTAGTCACTACAGTGCCCTCACAGGGCAGAGTCACAGCCTTTTTTGTATTGCCTGCCAAAATTTGAGGTGTTAGAAGTGTGCCATGAGAGGAAACTTTTGAGGAGTTTCGAAAAGCAATGCAAAGAACAAAGCCGCAACACTATTTTTAAAAAGAGAGCGATCTGCGTTCAAATGGCTGGCCTTTATTTTACACTTCCTTGAAAATATACGAGAACAAGGTACATGCATTATGTGTCACATTACTGGGCAAACTGTTCAGATATTTTTTTTAAACCTCCCTGTATAGAAAAAAATCATTAAGGATGTAAAAGCCATGCTTGCCTATTTGCTGTATACATGTCATGAAATTGTAGATAAAGTGTAGTGCATTGAAACAAATGATCAAAAAGTAGATACTTTTACTATACAAGGTGCTGGTGCAGAAACAAATAGATATATTTTTGGAAATGTAGCATTTTATACTTTCAAGTGTTATAAAAAAAGAAAAAGAACAAAGAAACCCTTTATTTCATTAAATGATTTTTTCTGGTGGTTGTCAAGAAACAAAAGACCAAAAGAGCCTTTTCGTCTTTTCTTTTTTATTTTTTAAGTATTGGAATAAGTCTAAAGAAAAGAAAGTGCCTTATTTTTCTTCATGGTCATTTAGTCAAGTGTCTCGTAAGATCAGCTCCTCCCTCCAGATGCAAGTGAATGCACGTCACTCAGCCGCCCAGTGTGTGAAAGCAGGATCGGGAGACAAGTGACTTGATGGTTCGAATTACATGAGTTTAGCCACGTTACCTTGATACAAATTTGCCAAATCTGATACTGTGAAAAAATTTGATAAGTTTTCTAATGTCTGACAAGTAAATTTTAAAACGTTCTTCTTTTAAAATTATAATTGATTGCTTTCGGTTACTGCAATATTTGGCGTTAGCCCAAAGGATTCTGTGATAAAAATTATGTGTGATTTGAACATCCTTTTACAGACAAAATTAGAGCTTTATTTTATTTGGAGAAGGGGGTGTATGTGGATTCTTATTAATTGGAGATATAGTATACTTAGCAAACATTTTCACAAAAATGAATCTTTGTGATTTTCATTCTGGAAAACAGTGTTTTTTAAACGGCCCAAACTTAATCAGACTTCCTCCTCCCACAACCGCTGACTGGGGTAATCCATCTCTTGGCTGGTTTTAGTAACCTAAGCTGCCCCCTCCCACACACGATTTCTTTATAACTTTCAAAGAATGTGAACAGCTAGCATCGTTGTGCATATAAATACTCAACTCCGCGTGAGTTTAAGCTTCCGGTTTCTCATGACGTTGAGTTAATTTCTTAGTGGAAGCTCTTCGTGCACAGAGCCCGCATCCTAGCACTTAGGTATCATTAAGCGCTCAGTACCAGACGTGGCAAATACCAGGTGACAGCGGATCCCAGCTCGTCAGCTCATTCCCTCTCGCACACCTGCACAGTCAGAGGTCAGCAGTCAGCTCAGTCAGCACCTTCGCGGTGACCTCCGTCACCCTGTCTCACGTGGAAACCGTTTCAGTTTATTTACTATGCAATAGACATTCATCGTTTCGTATCGGCCAGCTTCGGTTTCATGTGCCACTGCTTTGTCTTTCCGTTTCACATACAGTTGTTTTTCGATTTATTTACAATATATGCTGTGCCATTTTGATTTTTATTTTGTTTGGTTGGTGAATAAATTTGCGACACTCAAACACTTGAGGTGGTAGTAGTTTAAAAACGATACCAGTATTTGATCCAGTTTCATCTCAACTATGTTATACCTGGACATTTTAGATGTTTATCAAAGGTCTTTTATGGGGAAGAAAGTAAATGTATGAAATAAGTGTGTGACATTTCTGAGTAATGTTGGCTCTGAACAAACTTTTGAAAACTTAGTTGACAATTTTGGATCAACTGAAAAAAAAGCATGACTTTTGAAATCTCTGAATGCCTTGGTTCTCAGTATTATCATTCTTTATTGAATTTATTTCTTATTAAAATATGTAGTTTTTAAGACTTTTTTTGACAGTATTATGTAATTCTTTAGCGTGGGTAGATGGGAGTGTCGCTTGTATGTTACCGTGCAGCTGACATGTATTTTTGTCTGTTCTTTATTATCTTAGTAGTTCCATGCTGTGTATGTACCATAACCGACCTATTGCCTATGAGAAACATGTAAGATAATGTATTTACAGCCATTGTTACAAGTTTATAATGTATTTTTCTATCTTGTTTTATATGTATGTTATATAACATTCAAAAAGAATTTTTTTCTTGATTGAGAAAAGGATACAAAATGCAAAATCCACAATTTTGATATCTGAAAATTGCCAATTGTTTTGCAGTACTTTATTATATTGGGTGTCTTGTCTTTCTCGGGCTTTTTAGTTAGCTAATGAATGAATACGTTAGACACTTCTGGGTTTTAGTTGGGATTTTACATAGCTTGCATTTTAATTCTTTGGTTCTTTGCTGTTTCTATTAACCCATGGCATTATTTTAATAAATGTTATAATACCAACCTACTAACTCTGGACTATGTCTGTTTATTAACCTTTATGTGTTTAATTAAAATAAACAAATGGAGACAAGAGAATGCAAAGTCTTGAGTTACTGGACTAACCCCGAAGAGCGTGGCCACAGATAGCACGGCGTGACTCGTCTTTTCGTTGTCTGTCAGCTGGCAGCGCCACGCGCTGCCGTCCGGGGGCTTCGGTGGTCCCTTCGGCTCGGGCGGGCGCGCGGGGCCGGGGCCGGTGGTCGTCTTCTGGCCGTGGCACTCGCCTTTCGGCCTCTGCGTTACTAACGCCCACACTTGCGTGTTTCTCCTCCTCCAGAGTGATCTGTCTGCTCACAGCGTGAACGTGGAGATTCCTTTCCGCGAACTTCCCCGAGAAACCAGTTTGATTCTTTGTTGAACCGTTTCTGTTCGTTTCCGCAAATGGGTAGCGCGATGGCTGCGTTATAAAGCAGAGAATCGGCTGATGTTTTGTCTCTTCAGAGTCATGTTTTAACTGGACACTTTTCCTTTACGAAGTGTGGAACGGCATGTTCTAGCCAGCTGTTCCTAGTGGGGGGCGCTCCACTCGGGCGAACCCGGAGACGGGGGCTGCCTGTTTCCCACGACAGCCCAAAGCCAGCCATCGGCGGTGTCCCAGACGCGGGACGGCGCTGTTCGTTTTCCTCAGACCTTCCTTCTCTCTCACCCTCTTCCAAAGGACAGTCAGGGTGTGCCGTGGACACAGGAAGTTGAAGGGACGCGAAAACTGGCATTCGAAAACTTGCATAACGTTAGTTTCTCGAACGCAAGTCAATTTAAGCAGATTTACTAAACATCAGTATGCTTTCCTCGGCCACAGCCTACGTAGATTGACCTCTCCTTAAGAATTCTTTAGTTCAGCTCTCGGAGTGCATTTTTATTTCACAGATATTGGTAATTTCCTTTTCTGTGAAATCGTTCTCCCGGATAATAAAATTCTTAGGATGAAGTTTTGCATTTGTAAATATGGCTTATTTTTGTAAATTGTGTTTTATTTAAAGTTTTAAAACTTGGGGCTGAAATGAGCCCTATTATAGAAGACATAACGATATAGATAGGCTTTTCTTAACCAGTTCATCCTGTCAGAGTATCCCCGTATTTTATCCCATAGCTTATATACATACGTGCAATGCATAGGGACAGTGATAATAATGATAATGATAGTGATCATAATTGAGATGATCATTCGGATTAAGTTTAGTTGTTCCCCGGGGCGGGGGCGGGGGCATGTAGTTAGCTAGATTGAGCTTTAATCAGCTGCCATCTATAAAGGCTCTCATCATACAGTTTATAGATTATTCTGTAGGGATTTGAAGATGTCTGCCAAGCTGCCAATTTATAAGTCGTCATGGTACCGTGTCACTTAAACTGATGAATTTCTGTGCGGTTTGCTACACATTCTCTGAAGCCTCTGAATGCAGTCTCATCTCATTTCCAGTTAAGGGCACTTCACGTATAATCATGTCATATTGTCACCTTTTATGCTGGAAAAGTCGTAAAAGGCTGCTTTTAAAAGGTGGAAATAACATTACGATCCCGGTTTTCTTCGGGCTGTACTAGTATTAAACATGAAATTACCGAGTTCTTAGAATGGTAGAGTCAGTTTGTTTTTACTGTTAACTTAATAAAACAGCCGAAAGTTAAGCTTTCAGTCGAGAAGATGGTGGAGTTAACGTATTTAGTAGTTGAGCGTTCTCCCTCTGGCGGGATGTCGAGTGTGGCGTGAAGGCTGTCCGCACCGCCCTAGTGCGGTCCCTGCACGTGGCCGAGCCCCACCGGGGGGCGATGGGAGCATCTCCCGCTTTGTGCCGAGCTCTGCATGCGTGTACACAAGTTTGGTAGGGAGTTAAGGTTTCCTGAGTAAATACCAGGCAAATCCAAAGGGTCTAAATTTCCTAGTGCACCAAAAGCAGACAGTGGGTTTAAATTAATTGCACATTACCAACTCAAGAATATTTACCAGCGAAGCCTAACGCTTTTACATAGAAGAATCTAAGTTTTTTCTCAGTTGGTGGGGGAAGGGCAGGGGTGGTTTGGCTGTGATGTGTCTTCATTGCTTGATAGCGATTACTTAGAGTGTTTTCACCAAATGATTTTTAGTAGAATGAAATATATTGCTAAATTATAATCTGTTTAATAGCAAAAATTACTGAGAGAACTTTGGACTGAGAAACCTAGGAAGTCCATAAGGTAACTTTTTAGCATCGTCACAAATTCTTTAATACCTTTAAAATGGAAATGTAATTTAAGTCATTTTAGGTACAGTTTTTAGAAATACTCATGGTACACCCATGTAATTTTATCTGTGGTTTCCTTAATATAAAATCACCTAAATTGAAACGCCTTCCTTAGGAAGAGATTTAAAACTATCTGAATTCCTGGTACTCAATGGCGAATCAAACTGGTTCCCCCAAGCACATTGCTGCCCTTTCTGTCTCTCCTGCTCTAATTGCTGGGGGTCGGGTGGGGGTGGGAAGGGGGGAGACTTCATTCACGGTACAGATGGGTGATGGTGAGTGCAGCAAACATGCGGTAACGTTGACTTCATAGTGCTGCCGATGTTGCTGGCCCTGCCTAGCGAGACACCACGTCGTAGAACAAAGCTCAACTCCCAGAGTTAAAAAAAAAAAAAAAAAATCTAAGAATGCTGCTCTTGAGCAGGTTTGGTTACCAGATACATCTCGTATGGTTTGTATCGTAGTGGCACGTGTAAAATATTGAGGATTGCACTTGCGGAATGTGTCTATACAGAGAAGAGTTGGTCTGGGTCTTCCCAGATCTCGCGCGATTGGAGAACCGCACCTGACTGTACATTAAAGGCAATAAACCAACTGGAGAAAGTGCGTGTGCTTCTCCCTCAAGCCACCTGCAGCCGCAAATGCTGCCGGGGCCCCCACCGAGCCCCCGTGTGTAAATATCAATGAAGAATGCACATTTTCATTTTTAATTTTTATTGATGCTTTTCCTACTTAAAAGAAAATGTGAGGATCTCACAGTAGAACTTGTGATCATAATATTTGCCTTGATTACAGTGATTAAAAACAAATCAGTAAACAGACTTCTGCAGTGTTCCTCGGTCAGATGTGCTTCCAAAACAGTTGCCACTTCTCATCGAGAAACTCGAGTACAGTTTCGAGACAGGAATGCTGACCAAATGTCGATCTTGGCTGTGTGAAAAGGACTGGTTTTATCAATTTCTCGAACAAAGGAGAATTAGTCAAAAGATAGTTTCCGGAGTTGGAAACCTTTTCTCAAAGATTTCCTGTCGACATCCACGACTCGCCCACCTTACGTTCCCCAGCCCCTTTCCATAGTCTCCAAGTACATCCGGAGAGCCGAGGCCTGTATTCTCGCAGCACCCGCGGGCCGAAACAGAGTCGTTTTACTGTCCCCTTTAAAGCCAGCGCCTCCCCGTCACGGCGCACCAGCCCTAAGTGGACCGGCGGTCTCCCGTCTCCTCCCCTGCCTGGCTCTGTGCTCAGCTCCCGGTCCCCTGGGGCCCCTGCGCTTGCCCCTCCCGGTCTAGAGTGGTGACCCCGACTCTTAGAACGCCACACCAGTTTCTCAAAGGGTATAGAGTAAAACAGGTGTCAGTGTTTTCCCCCCCAGAAAAATCAGGTGAATATGGTTTCTAAATCAGAAATCTTAGTCTATCATTATAATCCGTACATAGATTTCTTAGTATTTAATTAGGGAGAAATTTCTAGGGAGTGGAGGGACGAGGTTACATTTGTCTTTCTTCCCTGGTGTAATTTTTTGTAATCTGCTACTTGTTGTAGTAATTCTGGTCTCGTTAGAAAGCAGCTAAACTAGCTGACCGTTTAACAGTTGTGTTAAAAATATTTCACATCGAAAAGAAAATATTAGTGATAGTTTGGGATCACGTTTTTCCAGAAAATACGTACTAAAATTAGATTATGCCAGTTAAGTGCTGTTTTGTGTAGTATATAGAGAGTACAGACCACCATAAAAATTATTTTATGTGCCATAGTTTCAGAGAGTGTCTCAAAATCAGGATGAGATTTTAACTGCTGTGGATCTGTCTTCTTAACACATGCTCTGGGTTACTCAGCTGGATGCTACTGAAGGGAAAAATGGCTAAAAACAAGATAAAATATTTGCACACGAACCCACAAAGATTTTCTTGCAAAACTATTCAAGTCGATAACTGACTTGAAATTTGACGATAATTCGATTTAGAACTTCCGTAAAGGCTGGGAATGAATGAAATACCCTGGCGAGGCTTGAACCCTGAATTATCAAAGTCGCTCTTCCTGGTGTCTTAAGTGGTTGCCCGTAAAATTAAAACGCAAGTGTAAGTGGCAAATTGCTGCGAATACACTTTAACTAAGTGAGTTATATTAATGAATGGCGCATTCGCCCATTGTTTTCTCAACGGGGTGAAAGGGCATTAAAAAAACTGTTCAAAGGTTAGACTTACTCTAGGTGGTGGGGAACTGTAAACCTGTAATTAGCAGGCGGGGCACTATGCGTGTGAAAACGCCCAAGCATCTAAGAAGCTAAGATCTAAATTGGTTCGTGAGGAAAGAAAATTAGATTAAACAAGTCAAACATACAAACGCCCCACCCTTAACCATTATTCAAGCATCGGTTTTGGGGGATGTTAGTAGTAAAGTTTTTTGAGGCAAAAAACAAAACTAAAAAACAAAATTAAACTGGGAAGTTTGGTTATCATCAAGTATCCGTGTTGGTTCTAAAACAAGTTAGAGACCTCCCGTTGCTCCTGGAGCTCTCATAATAAAAGCAACCTGGCGTGGAGAGACACAAGAAAAAGTGTGGTGTGTGTTTTACGTATCGCAAAGGGCATCGCATTTTCACAGGTCTATGTGAATCGACTTGACGAAGAGATTTTGTGCTGGTTGATGGACAGACACACGGATGCGGTCTCCGCCGACCTGTGTTCTGTGTAACTAGCAAACACCCAGAAGGCCTGGCGAATGCCTTGGCTCCTTCGGAGGTGTTAACCCAC